TTCTGTGGCTTTCTTTTTTCACTCAACATTATGTTTCAGAAACTTACCCATGCAGGTAGCTATAGTTTATTTCTCTGCATATAGCATTCCACGCTAGAAATATGCAATACAGCAATGTATTTATGTATTCTTCTGTTTCACATGTGGGTTATTTCTTTTGTACATCTTTTATTGTACAAAAGAAACAGCAAGAGTTTCTGAATGGTGTACACCAAAGACTGAAATTGCTAAGCCCCCGGGTATGAGCGCCTTCAGCACACTTGGGAAAGCCTAATTGTTTTCTGAAATGGTCCTATCAATTGCACTGTGACCAGCAGTGTAGGTTATCTGCATTGAAATTTTCAGGCTTTTTAGGTGTTGTCAGTCTGTGGAGTGTATTATGGTCTTTAATTTAATTTGTGTTGCCCTGATTATCAATGGACTTGTAAAGCACTTGTTAATGCCTCTTGGCAGTTTTTAGTAGGGTTGTTTTTTCCTTTTTTCTTACTATAAGGTCTCTGTTTTTAGAAAAACTGCTACGGGATAGAATCATTCAAGTCCTAGATTTTTCAGTACATTTCCCATTTGAAATTTGCCCTTTTTCTTCATAAACATGTACATGTTAAGAACATAAAAATTTCTAATGTGCTGACCACATTTGCAAAATATCTTAGACAGAGAATGCCTTTCTGGAGCACATGCCCAGCTCTTACTTTTTTTTTTTTTGTTTGTTTGTTTGTTTTGAGACAAAGCCTCAAGCTGTCCCCCTGGGTAGAGTGCTGTGGCATCACAGCTCACAGCAACCTCCAACTCCTGGGCTCAAGTGAATCTCCTGCCTCAGCCTCCCAAGTAGCTGGGACCACAGGCACCCACCACAACGCCTGGCTATTTTTTTGGTTGCAGCCATCATTGTTGTTTTGGCAGGCTCGGGCTGGATTCGAACCCACCACCTTAGGTGTATATGGCTGGCACCTTAGCCACTTGAGCCACAGGCGCTGAGCCTCATCCTACTTTTAAAAGTCTTTCATGTGAACTGTTAATTTATGATATCAATACCATGATAACTTAGAACTGTTAATTTAGAAAGCTAACTTGACTGCTTGCATGAGTCATAATATTATCAGGACTCAGAAAGGTTTATAGACCAGTCAGGCTGGAAAGTGCCACTGAAATCTCTGAGTTCTGCCTTATCCAGTAGAGAGGGAGACTCAAGCAGGAAAAGCTCGGTCTAACAACTACGAAATGCAGAACTGCACTAAGAACAACGCATGAGCCAGTCTCCTTTTCCTTATACCGGGCATGTATTATCCTAAGGAACGTTACCATCGCCGTAATTGGCCCATACTGAAATACAGCCTCTGTTTTAATTACTTTCTGTGTTTTAGGATTATCTTTTTGAACAGACCATATGCTTTTAAAAAATATTTACTGATTTATTTTTTTGGAGCCAGAGTCTCATTCCATCGCCCTGGGTAGATGGCATCATAGCTCACAACAACCTCAGACTCTTGGGCTCCAGCCATCCTGCTGCCTCAGCCTCCTGAGTAACTGGGACCATAGGCTCCTGCCATGATGCCCAGCTAGTTTCTCTATTGTTAGCAGAGACAGGGTCTTGCTCTTGCTCAGGCTGATCTCCAACATCTGAGCTCAAGCAATCCACCTGCCTCAGCCTCCCAGAGGGCTAAGATTACAGGCGTGAGCCAGCCAGCCGTATAGTTATTGACGTCAGAGGACACATTTATGTTTATATTTAAGTCTTTACAACACTAGAAATAAACTCTGAAAAGTTTTTTTTTTTCCATTTGAATAAAAGACTGAGTTAAAATTTAATTGTGCCTTTGGAAAGATGGCTTCAAACTGTTCTATCAATAAAAAGAACATAACCTCATTTATTTAATTCTTGTTTCCTATGTGATATAACAAAGAACCCATAGTAATCGTGAAAAAGAGAAATGGCACCCAATAACTCTCTAAGCACAGAACTTTTAGTTTATTAAACTTATCCCAAAGTGTAATTATCCTGCTTGTCTAATTCATTTGTTAGTTTATTGTTTGTCTCCACTCCCAGAGTTCCAGAGGGCAGAAATCTTGTCTGCCTAACTCACTAGAGTTCCTAAAACAGGGCTTGGGCTGATGACAGGTGCTCTTTGACTATTTCTTGAAGGAATGAACGAAGGGACGGTCTCAGGCTTGAAGATGTTTCCAGTGCTATGCAGGGACAGCCCGTTATTCTTACCTACAACATTCTGGCATTGCTGTGTGAGAATCCATGCTTTGAGTTTACGGATAAGTGACTCGATACTTCTGGGTTGGGAGGGGGCCAGAGCCAGCATGGGAGAGTGGGGTGACATGGAGGCAAGTTTCTCAGTAAAGGTGATATCTGAGCTATGTCTTTTTTTTTTTTTTTTTTTTTTGAGACAGAGCCTTAAGCTGTCACTCTGGGTAGAGTGCTATGGCATTACAGCTCAGAGCAACCTCCAACTCCTGGGCTCAAGCGAGTTTCCTGCCTCTGCCTCCCAAGTAGCTGAGACTACAGGCCCCCCGCCACAATGCCCAGCTATTTTTTTGGTTGCAGCCGTCACTGTTGTTTGGCAGGCCCAGACTAGATTCAAACCCGCCAGCTCAGGTGTATATGGCTGGTGGCCTTAGCCACTTGAGCCACAGGCACCAAGCCTGAGCTATGTCTTAATGGAAAAATAGGAGCCTCTGGGCAGGTAAGTGGGAAAGGCTATTCCGGGGAAAGGAAACCAGGTGAAGAGTCAGTGTGTGAAAGATCACTGGGCAGCAGGATTGTGGACAGCAGCAAAGGCAGTGTGTGAAAGTTCATATGTACACACATGGGTTTCACCTGCCTCATCAACCGGCCACTGTTAACATCTCAAGACTCGACTCTGGGTTGACTAAACAGGCCAAGTGCTGTACCACGCAGACGTGCCTACCCCCAACAGTGTACAGCTTTGTGAAGTGGGACCGTTTGCCTTTCAGGCTCCCCGAGTGTCCTCTCTCCGCCTCTCCTTGCACCCGTTTGCCATGTTAACAGCACCCAAGGCAGCAGAGTACGCCCGCAGACAGAGTAAGTCTGTTTCCTTTCACCTGCTCAGAGAAGTGTAAGTAAAATCACCAGCTGGACTCCCAAGGCCAGGTCAAAGTTGTAATGGTAATTAGATTTCTCTTTCTGGTTGAATTTAAAAGAACCAGGTGGTTTTATGACTTCCTTCCTTCCACTGTGGAAATCAAACAAGGCTTCTATCTCAGGCCCCTCAGTGATGGGAGCAAAGCACTCTAGAAGGGAAGGATTCAAACCTGGGTGGATACACTCAAAAAAACATTGTGCATACAGATCTGGTTACTACATGTGTCTGTAGGTGTCAAGCCAAGAAAGGGAGCAACAAACAAAAATGCCACCAGCCGCTCGACTGAGGGAGCAAAGGCCACGGAATGGAAATCATCCAAAAGTTTTTCAGACACTCAACCAAGGAACAAAGTAGGTCTAAAAATATAAATTGAACCAAATTGATATCAGATGTTTTGGGAGTACTTTACTCATATTGTGCTTAAAAGGCCAGCCTGCAGAATCAGAGGTTCTAGGCTTAAATCTACAGCCCGCTGTTTACCAGCTGTGTGACTTCAGGTAAGCTACTTAAACTCTCTGTGCCTTAGTTTCCCCCTCTGCAAAACAGGAAGAATAATGATACCACCTTCTAAGGTTGTTGGAATGATTAACCGAGATGCGTGTTAAAAGGTTAGAACAGGGCTTGGACACAGAGTAAACTCTAAATCAGTGGTTCTCAACCTTCCTAATGCTGAGACCCTTTAATACAGTTCCTCATGTTGTGACCCCCAACTATAAGATTACTTTCATACACCTGTATTTGTATGGGGTGTATGTGATGGTTTTAGGCAACCCCTGTGAAAGGGTCGTTCGATCCCCAAAGGAGTTGCAACACACAGGTTGAAAACCACTGCTCTAAATAAAATACTAGTGGCCAGGCACAGTGATGCATGCCTGTAATCCTAGCACTCTGGAAGGCCAAGGCGGGTGGATTGCTTGAGCTCACGAGTTTGAGACCAGCCTGAGCAAGAGCAAGACCCCACCTCTACTAAAAATAGAAAAACCGAGGCAAGAGCAATTGAGCCTGAGTTGAAGGTTGCTGTGAGCTATCACCACGGCACTCTACCCAGGGTGACAGCTTGAGACTCTGTCAAAAGAAAAAAAAAATAGTAGCCATTATTATCTTTTCAGCATTTGAAAAATATTATTCACAAGTTAATTGGCTCTTATTCTACTGATTCAAATAAGTATGGTAAGGAGGCCAAGACTATGTTCCTGCTCAACACTTAGCGCTTTGAAGGGTTGCAGGAGCTGCTGGCTCAGGACACCAGGGACCAGAGCCCTCTTAAAGGCAGAGGGGCTTTGTAAGTGGGTGCAAGATGTCACCTCCATGGAGACTCCCAAATGGAAGCCCCGGCCCAACTTGCTCTCCCAGGCTCCACTCCTCTGATGGGTCATTACTCTCAGTTTTCTGGTGGCAATGGTTGCGGTGGGGCTCTGCCATGTGAATGCAGGTGTGCTGGCTCCCAGGAGCCATGACCTTTACTCAATGGAGGGCCTTCTTTCTGGAGAGGGAATCTCTTGGCTGGCTTCCTTATCTTGGGCCTGGGAAGCTTTGGCCTTCCTCCCACCACCAGTACTCCTGCCGTGTCCCTCTTTCTGGAAAGGTGGAAGGAGCCTGTGGCATCTTCCCGGCCCAAAGCACAGCCAACCACTGGCTTAAACTTCAGAGTGGGATGAGGGGCCCAGCCCTGGCCCTCAGCATCCTCAGTTTCTGTAGCAGAGCCCAGTGCTGAACCTCTAAATGCCCGGGCTTCACGGTAACCTTGTTGACACGGCCGTGACCACTTTTCCCATACGTAACTCAGGGCAACTTTAATATAAACGTGAAGATGTTGTGTCTTGTGATTCTGTCTTATTTTTATTAGAGCCACTTTTTGTTCCTGGCTTGGCCTGAAGTGTGGTATTTTTTTATATGTGTGTATTCTCTTGTTTTTGTAGCAGGGTTGGGTGGTTCTGGAGGGGGTTGTTTAACAGCACTATGGCCTTGGTCTCTAACTTTTAATAAATGACTGTTTGATAGCAAAATAAATAAATAAATAAATAAATAAAAGAAGAAGAAAATCCTAAGAGTACCTACCTCCCATAGTAGTTACAAGGACTAAATGAGTTAATATATGTGTAAAGCCTTAGAGAAGTGCCAGGGCCATATCAAGCAAAAATAAAATTGCTCCCTTTATCAGAACTCCTGAAGAATTTACAATATCATGGAAGGAAACAAGATACTGAGAGAGGTAAATATAAGTTTAAATTCAAAGCAATATATTAGAAATTCAAAATGATATGCTAAAGCCAAATTTTGAACTGCTAAACGGCCAAAACCTGATTTGCTTTGGGTAGGGTTGGTCAAAAGATGTATAATTTTTTTATATTTTTGGAAATAATTTCAAGCTTAGAGAAAAGTTACAAAAATAGTGCAAAGAACCCACGTATTTCTTTTACTTAGTCACCAATTGCCAAAGTTTTCTTTCATTAGCCTTATTTTACCTCTCTCTCTGTCTCTTTCTCTGAATATCGATAAAAGTACAGTAGAACCTTTGTAAGTTGACCTCCCAAGGGGCTGCAACAAACTGGTTAACATACAGAGTTGGTCAACATAAGGAAGAGCCATTGAATACACGTGGTCCATGTCCAGTCTATGAAAAATAGGTCAACTTGAGGAGGTAGTCAATGTAGGCAGGTGGTCAACTATACAGGTTCTAGTATATGTAATTTTTTTCTGAGCCACTAGAAGTTATATACACTGTATCACTTTACCCCTATATACTTCAGTAAGTATTTCTCTTTCATTTTTTTATTTTTAATTATTGTGGATTCAGTGTGTATTTCTTAAAAGCAAACTTGTTCTCTTAAATAACCACATACACTACCAACTTCAATATGTTTAATATTAGTACTTTACTGTCCATATATGAATTTTGTCAATTCTTTTTTACTTTTTTGTCAATTCTTTAAAAATTTTTTTTTCTTTCTATAGAGGACCCAGTGTGGGAATCACATATTGCATTTAGTTAAGAAACATAACTCTATTTCCAAGTCTATGAGAAGAATTCCACGGAAATTCTCTCGTACCTGCGTTTCTCTAATCCATCTTTGTCAGTAGATCTTTGTCTGATATTTGACCTTCACTTCCTATAGATAGAAAGCTAATCCTGGGTCCATGTTAAATTGAGGTGCTTGATACCAAAACCATCTTTTATTTTGTAGGTCACTTAGAAACGTGGAACTGTACCATGAAACGTCGGAATAGTCTCTGGGAGCAGACAAGAAACATCCTCTTACAACTGCAGCTCCGGCCAGCACGTGATTTCTTCACTCCTGACTTTTGATGCAAACTGCATTGAAGTGTGATTTTCGACATTGGCTCTCTTCTCTTAGAAGCATATTGCACAGCTACATTTTGGTTGAAAAACAAAAAAGATGATATACTACTGCTTTATTGTGACTGGAAGATCACTGGGAGAATTCAGAGAGTGTACAGTCTTTCTATGTCCAAACAGGCCAGTTGTGTAGCACATTTTACATGGTGACAGAGTAGGAGGCAGTTTTCCAAAGATGAATCTGTCACTGACTGCCTTTACTATGTGCTCATGTAAAAATATTTAACTGATTTTAATAAAGCATTGAAAGAAAAATGAGTGCTGGCTTTCTTTCAGCAGGATATGATGACCACTAGGAAGAGAAAAATGTTCTAGCCTTTTAGTACCTTTCCACATACTGATTGGGCACATGGCTTAGCCTGTCCATGTATGTAATAACAATTTGATCAGATGACTGTCAGTACAGACTATACCTTTCTTCGGGGTTTGGCGTGCCATGTGTTTGCAGAACATTTTTCATCAGCATGTACAAGACTACAGTGGAAAATGTAGACATCTACTGAAAATAGCAGGCTATTCTCATTATGGGGTTGTGGCTGGGGAGCCCAGGGCTACGTTTCCATACTGGATTTGAGTATGGTAGAAACTGACATTTACCACTAAGTCTGCAGCAGTGGGAGGGAGGCAGCAGAGAGGATCCCTGTGGTCCCTGCGTGCACTGCCAGGTGTCTGGCTTCCTAGGACTGTGCCCAGTTTTCTTCTGTCTAGCTCTGCTAGTTATAAAGAAAACTTTGTTCTTCATGGTTATTGCTGTCTCTCCTTTTATCTTCCACACATTTGCTGTACATGTACGAAGATTTTTCACAACTCTCACTGTAAGCATATTACCAGGTTGTGATCAGAAGCCCTCTCACAGTCCCTTCACAGCTCCAAAGCACTTGCTCTCCTCTTTCTACATGCTAGTGGGATGACAAAGGATGGCCTGAGGTTTGGAGTCACCCTCGGCTTCTGCACATTAGAGCCGTCCTTCTAAATCCTTCTAGATCAATAGATATTGATTAATAGGTTGGCAGCAATGGAGAAAGGTCATCACCTGGGTTCAGGGCAACAGTGGCACTCTTAGGAGGGAATGCACAGTCAAACGATGATGCTAATTTTAAAAACATAATGCACTCCTCGCACAGCAGTAGAGGTGGTCGGGAAGGGGAAGGATCTGGTGTATTTTCCTGCTCTTTGAACCTCTCACAGACTATTGGGAGGTCTCTATTTTTAGCTCAAGACAGGTTTAATCTCAAGACAAACATACTTATTTCAAAATTTTCTGCTTTTCACCAGCAATTCAAAGTTATACATGAAAAAATTGATTTTATTATCTTTTCATCTCATAATATTGAAATGTGTATCTATAATAAAAAAATTAAGGAAAGAGAAAGTATCAAGAAGAGATAAAAACATAAAA